CAAGAAGTTAGAAGAGGATGGGGACAGGGATCCCTTTCTGTTGCCTGGGCAGGATGGGGCAGCTGCCCATCCCTTGGGACCCATCTTGGGGTCACAGATCCCTGCCCCAGGACCAGAGGTGCCAGCACCAGGGTTTGCACGTGCTGGAAACCTGCTTGACCCTCCCCTGAGCCCCACGCCAGCGTGGGGTCCTCACTCCTGATGCACCTGCACCCCTTGGCTTGGCTTCAAATAGAGCTCTCTGGGACCATGCTTTTGGGGTTCCTGGGACCCCACTCTCTGACTGCACCCCTGTGTGTTCAGGCAAGCCATGATTACTGCACGTATAGTTTCTATGCCTTTTCTCTTTACAGAGGGCCACCACGAGCAGCCGGACACAGCCAAGCTACACCGTCCATCGCCACCTCCTGCAGCAGCTGGTGTCCTACGAGATCCTTCAGCACCAGGTACCGGGGAGGAGAAGCAGCTCTCCAGCAGCTGGGTGGGAAGAAGGGCTTCCTCTGGAGCCCACCACGCCTGACACGTTGCTGCAAGGGTATGGGGAGGAGGGTCGTGGTGATACCTGCCTGTGCCTGGCACCCTTATGGGGCACCCGCTCCTCCTGTGGCCCTGCAAACACACCCCACCCCAGTGCCTGCCCCGTTGCTTGCTCCAGGACACATCTCCCTCTTTTCACACCTTCGCAGGCCGGCAGCATCGCCTGGGACGGGGAGCTGAGCAGGCATGCCAGCACCGTGCTGTACCTGCACGCCACGCAGAAGGACCTCTCTGACTTCCATCAGGTCATGGCGTGAGTATCCCATGCCTGGGGAGCCATGATGCAGCATTGGGGGGGGGGTCAAGGGCCCCGACAGCCGTCTGTGGGGGATCCCCCTGCTGGCCCTGGGTGCCCCCCCAGCGCAAGCTCTACCAGAGCCTGGAGTTCAACAGCAGCTGCCTGCTCCACCAGATCACCAGCATCGAGTACCAGTGGGTGCAGGAGCGCCTGAGGCCAGAGCAGGTGAGGGGGCTCCGGCAGCACGTGACGGGCAGGGATCAGGGAAACGTGCCCCGTGCATCCCACCCTGAGTCTCTCCTCCCGGCTCCCGGGGCCATTTCCCTCCCTGTGTTCCAGGAAGGGCAGGAGCTCGCGGGGTACAGGGGTACCGGGGCGGCTGGAGGGCATTTCTGGGGAGAACGAGCCATGGGGACCAGGACAGCCTGGGGGTCAGGGAGCCCCTTTGCCCTGGGGGTTTGTTCCCCTTCTCTGAGGAGAAATCCTCACCCTTTGCACCGATATCCCCCTCCTCCATCGCTGCCATGAAGTCGATCACAACCCCCTGCAAAACTTAAATCTGACCCAATTCCTACTCTTCCCCACCCGTTTTCCCAGGGCATCCCAGCACCCTGCTGAGACTCTGAATTTTTCATGCATAGCAATGAGATTTAAGCACAAATCTCAGTTCAGGCTCTCAGGGGAGAAGCTACCCAAGGCTTTGGGGGTTTTCCCACCCCTGGAAAGGATCGGGAGCTACGGGATCCCTCCACCACGATGCCGTGGTCCTGCTGCTGAGGAGGACAGCGTGTGTTTCCCTCCTTCTCCCCAGAAAGCAGAGCTGGCCGAGTCCTTCCAGTCCTTGCTGACTTACGGGGTCTCCCTCATCCGGAGGTACCGCATCATCTTCCCCCTCTCTGTCCCGAGGTCCACGGAGAAGCTCCAGTCCCTGCTCCGGTGAGTTGAGCGCTGATGCCAGCTGCACATGGGATCGTATGGCTTGGCCACCATGATGGGCAAGCCTGTAAGCTTGAGGAAAAACCTTCGTGAGCCCTTCCTGTCCCCTCCTACGCTGCTGTGACCTTGTCCTGTCCTGTCCCTCATCCTGGGCACCTCGTGGGGGGTGTTGTTGGGAGGGGAAGATCTGTTTGGGTAGGGTCTCTGGGGGGGAGAGGGGATTGTTTCTGATGGGCTGGTGCTGGGTTTCACTCGAGGTTCTCGCTTTTCAGGGTCCTGGTCCAGATGTGCAAAATGAAAGCATTCCACGAGCTGTGCACACTCAGCCCTGACCTCCCCCAGATGGTCTCCACGGCACTGAAGGTAGTGGGACCAGGGCTCTCAGCCTCCCCAGCCCCGGGGAGGTGGGACCCTGCAGCTCGCCCTTCCCAACCATCCCCTGCCCAGCGCTCACACCTCAGCAAAGCCACACAGACCACCATGGCGGGGTGGGGCGGGGGGGAGATACCTGCCCCTCTTCAACCTGCTGGTCCCAGCCTGTGGTTCCAATCACATGGAGCTGGGTCCTGACGACGCCCAGGGGACAAGGAGAGTGAAGGGGGTGACAGAGGTGGCTTTGCTCCTCCTGCTTCCCTGCCATCACACCAGGACACCTCTCTCGCAGTCAGGCACGACGGAGTGGTTTCACATGAAGAAGCAGCACCTCAAGCCCATGGTGAAGGTCGGTTCCCATCTCCATCGCCCTGACACTATAGGAAGCAATTTTCTGGCTTTGGGGTGGGAGGCCCGAGGGGGAGGGAAGACAAGACTGAGACGAGGCTTCTCCAGTTTTCTGACATAATCAAGGCATTTGGGTTTCCAGCTTAAAAATACCATAAGCCACGTTTCCTGCAGCTCCCGAGGTGCATTGAAGCTGAAGGCCTTGGTGCGATGCTCAGGAGAACAGGAGGTGGTCCCTAGCCCAGCCACACAAGCACAGGGTGACAGTGAACATTACCAACAACTCCTTGGTGCTCTTAACGCAGATCTAATGATAGATTGCTACCCCACAAGAACAAATTGTAGAAATAAACCAGATCAGGACGGAGCCCAGTTCATCTCAAAATCACTGATCATCCAAAACAAGCTGTTCCTTCCTTTCCAGAGCATGGAGGAGAATGGAAAAGCCTTGTCCAGACTCCTCCTGGAGGTGATAGGAGATCTCCAACAGTGCCAGAAAATCTGGAATAAATTCTTCATCAAGTAGGTTTTGGAGCTTGATCCCCCTCACCCACCTTCCCTGGGGTCAAGAGCAACAGGGCACTTTGATGCCTCATTCCTTGGCTCTTGGGCTCCACAGGTAGCATCTGTGGTCTCACCTCTGCCTCTTAGAGCTGTACTCTCCTCACCCTTACAGCAAGGGCATGGCCTGGGAGGATTTGCTGGGCTGGGACTGGCAGGCTCCTGACTCCACGTTTCTCTCTTGCAGCACCTTGAAGTTGAATCTCTTCTCCATCGCCTACCTGGAGCTGGAGAGCCTGGTGAGTAAGCCTGGGCTGCTCTGCACTAGTGGGACTAAGATCTAAAGCCAGCCTGAGGTTTCTGGCTGCCCTTCAGGTGACAACTGGTTGTTGCAAGCCTGGAAAGGGAGCAAACTCTCGATCTTTCCCTGCGTGCCCACAAAGTAACTATCATCTGCTTACTTGACCCAAGGACTCTCCTGAAATGCCACCCAAAAGGAAGAGGAGTCCCCTCAGCTGACCCCCCACCCCGTGGCTCCAGAGAGCCCCTGACAGGCCAAGCCTTCCCAGCTGGACCCTCACTAACAGCTCCTCCCCCTTCCCTTTCTCACTGCCAGGTCGCAGACCATGTCCAGGAGGAGCTGCGTGAGGTTGACAGCAGCATGTCCAAGCCCACGGCTGAGAGCCTTTTCCAGCTCTACATGAACCTGCAGGAGCTCTATCGGATGAAGGACTTCCTCCCAAAGAGGTATCCAGCCCAGAGAGAGGGGAGATGCCGAAGCAAGGGAATGAGCAGTTCATTGACAGGAACTCCAAATCCTTCCCGTTCACCTACACCACTAATCACACACAAGGCAGACCAGGCTGTTGGTGTCTGATGTCGATGTGAGCATCACCAGAAGGGTTTCAGGGTTGTGTCTGAGTGGAGCTGATGGAGACCTCAACTTCCAGACAAGGGGAAGTTTCTCCTTAGGGTGGTGCTACCTGTTGCCTCCACTTTGGGGCAGTTTCTTGTATATGAGAGCAAGGAGGGGTGATGGGCCTGTGCCGTTGCTGTGCAGCTGGAGAAGCTGGTGCCTTCATCCACAGGGATGGACCTCTGGCTCTGAGCAATTTCCACCAGTGGTTCAAGGAAGCTGTGCCCCAGTGGTTGCAGAAGGCCTACACCATTGCGCTGGAGAGGGCACAGAGAGCCGTCCAGATGGACCAGGTAACCTGGGGAGGAGAACATCTCCCTCCATCCTTTGGGGACACTCCAGCTCCCTCCATGCCTTGCTGCTGTGCCTGGCTCACAGTGCTGGGACCACCACATAGGTGCCTCTTGCAGCCCAGGAGTGAGCTGGTTCCTCTGCCAAATGCATAACAAAGAATGTGGTGTCCTGGACTGGTTGACTGCACCCTGGCCCCACATGTCATCCCTGTGCCCCTTCTCTCTCTGCTCTCTGGCAGCCCAAGTGAGCTGCTGAGCCTGCACCTGGGCCAGTCTGTGAGCATTCCCTTTGCTTCTGACCTTTAGGAAGAGGGGAGGGAAGGCAGCCATGGGGCCATGGGCTCCTCGCCCCACTCTTCAGTGTGGTCCAACAGCACTGGGTTAGAGTGTGATGGGGCACAGCCCGATGCGTGGAGCTCAGGATGCTCCATCCATCCTCATCTCCTCCACTCTCCAAAGTGACTGGGTGATGACATCGGGATACACGGAGCTGATGATGGGCCAGAGATCCTGAAAGTAAAGGAGCAGATCTCCTGTCTGGGATGGCTCCTCGCCGTACAAGCTACGTTGCATTTGCTTTCTCTGCCCTCCCAGCTGATGCCCTTTGGGGAGCACAACAAGCACAGCACGTCCACCGTTGACCTGTCCACCTGCTACGCCCAGATCGTGAAGACCTGGCAGCAGCTCAACTGGCCGGACCCCGAGGAAGCCTTCATGATCATGGTGAAGCTCGTGGAGGTTTGTACACTGGGCCCTGCCATCAGATGCCATGCTCACGGGCATCAGCAGCTGGAGTTTTCTCTCCTGCTCTTGAAGACATGTCTCCATGAATGGGGCCAGCGTCTCATGCCAATGTGGTGGGGTCTCCCGGCCCTGTGGTGGTCCCCATGCTGCCCAGCTTAGTCTCCTTGGCTTCTTCTCTATGCTGCAGGACATGTGCAAAATCGCCCTGATGTACTGCCGGCTCGTCAAGGAGAGGGCTGAGGCTCTGTCGCTGAGCAAGCAGAATGAGGGCGAAGCAGCCAACAGGGTTGGTATTGAGGCAGTGTCCACTGCTTAGGAAGAGGCAGGACTTGATCGTAGTTTCTGGGCAAGGAGGGACATGAGCTGCTGACCACCCAGCTGACATCCCAGGTCTGGCTTTTGTGGGGATCCGTTGAGCCCCAATAGTTGTAATCCTGGAAAATCAGGAGGGAAATGGTTTGAGCACAGGGAACAGGATGGAGATGGAATGGGATTGGGATGAGATGGCATGGAGATGGGGATGGAATGGAGATGAGAGTGGGGATGGAATGGGGATGGGATGGAATGGGGATTCAAGTGGGGATGGGAATGGAATGGGGTGGAGGTGAGGATGGAGATAGTGATGGGGATTGGAATGGGGATGGAGCCGGTGGGGGATGCACCGGGGGTTTGTGGGACACCCTGAAGCAGACCCACCTCTCCCAGCTCTGCATCGTGGTGAACAACATCAAGCAGCTGAGCGCCGTCGCAGCTGGACTGGGCCCAGCTGGAGCAGCGCACGGGGGCCGTCATCGACCGGCAGCAGATCCAGCACACGCTGCACAACCAGCTCGACAGCACTGTCTCCTGCCTGGACCACGAGGTCCGGGACGTGGTGCAAGCCCTGGCCACCAAGGTGACCATCTGCTACTGAGGCCCAAAGTGGGGAGGTTTCACCGAAGGGGCCCTGGAGCCCACAGTGCTCCTGGGATGGAGACAAGGTGGGCCTGGGCGTGAGGAAGACGGTGCGGAGGGCAAATCCCGAGTGCCTCCATGCATTTCTCCCTGGCAGCTGGAAAAGGGCATCGCCAGACACATCCAGGAGCTCTCATCTTCCAACGACACTGGGGAGCCTGAAGATGTAAGTACCTGGCCCGGTCCCTCCTGGACCGTCTTTTTCAGGCAGCCATGTATAACCCTTGCCTGCTTCCTGGAGGCCCCCATCACCCTTCCCCACCTCTCCCTGCCCCATGCCTGGGGCACAGGACGCACCAGCGCTGGGGCCCACACCTCCATACGCTTCGTTTGATGCCCATGTTGGCAGCAGGACCAGACCGGGCACAACCTTCTCACGTCCTCGCTGTGGGACACAGCCCCTCGGGACCCCCCCACCCACTGCTGGCTCCAGCCAACAGTGCTCTGCCCCTCTCGCTGCTGTGCCCTGCTGGATACGGCCCCCCGTGCCCTTCCCAACGCCCCTCTCCTCTCACTGCAGTCCATCATCCCTCTCATGAAGTTCCTGGAGTCGGAGCTGCAGTATCTCAACGAGCATCTGGTCCAGGAGAACTTCAACAGGTGACCGGGGCCCTGGGGATGTGCCATGGCCGAGGCCAGCAGTGTCACCGTCCCTCGGCAGGAGTGTCCCCTGGGGCTCGGGGACGTCTTGCTTTGGGGCTGGCTGCTCAGCCCAGAGGGTCTGCAAAGCCCCTCAGCCGAGGACCAAACCCCCCAACCCGCCTTCCCGGAGCCCCGCTCACAGCCTTCCTCCCTCCCCCCTCAGCCTCCTCGCTCTCCTCTGGCATCACAGTGTAGCTGTGTTCATCATGAAACAACAAACTGGGCAGTGTGCGCATACAGCTGTGTCCCGGGCACGTACGCGCTTGGATCGGAAGGTCTGTTCCTAGTCTGATGCATGTGACTGTGCAAAGACTTCACAGAATCACAGAATCACAGAATCGTAGGGGTTGGAAGGGACCTCTGTGGGTCACCTAGTCCAAATCCCCTGCCGAAGCAGGGTCACCTACAGCAGGCTGCACAGGACGTTGTCCAGGTGGGTCTTGAATATCTCCAGAGAAGGAGACTCCACAACCTCCCTGGGCAGCCTGTTCCAGTGCTCCGTCACCCTCAGAGGGAAGAAGTTCTTCCTCATGTTCAGACGGAACTTCCTGTGCCTCAGTTTGTGCCCATTGCCCCTTGTCCTGTCACTGGGCACCACTGAAAAGAGCTTGGCCCCATCCTCCTGACACCCACCCTTCAGATATTTTTAGGCATTTATAAGGTCCCCTCGCAGCCTTCTCTTCTTCAGGCTGAACAAGCCCAGTTCCCTCAACCTCTCCTCGTAGGGGAGATGCTCCAGTCCCCTCATCATCCTCGTAGCCCTCCGCTGGACTCTCTCCAGTAGCTCTTCATCTTTCTTGAACTGCGGAGCCCAGAACTGGACACAGGGGTTTCTTTTGGGTGCTCTCCAGGGAGGGCATCCCTGGGCTGTGGACCCATCCGTACGTTTGACCGTCACCTCTCGTCCTCCCTGCAGTCGCTGGAGACCCACCTGGCCCTCTGCTCTGCCACCAGCCGCAAACTCATCCAGAAATACTTCAGCAACAGGATTCAGCAGCAGGTAGGAGTCAGGGTGGTGCCCCCAGCCCCTTCCCACACCCCACCCTTGCCCACGCAAGGCAGCCCAGCACAGCCCACCCATGGAAACACGGGATTTCCCCACCACCCTCCCAGTCCTGGGGCTGTTGGGGCTGGTTTTGCCCCAGCAGTGGGCAGGAGGGGGTTCAAGTGCATCGCAGGGGATATCCATCACCCCCCTGGTACCCCAAAATTCCCGCTCAGCCTCCACCGGACCCCAGGCAGCCCCTCTGCGAGCGTGCCGAAAGGCAGCGCCCTTATTCTTGTGCTCCACCGCTCAGCTGGACACCGGCTCGGAGAAGTACGGGGCCGTGACAATCAAAGCTCTGTACCTGCCTTCGGAGCAGAAACTCCGCGTGGAAGTGCTCAACGCCGCCAACCTCATCCCGCTGGACTCCAACGGTGGGTGTGGGTGGGCTGGGGACCCCCGTCGCCCCGGGCCCCCTGTCGCCCCCAATGCGCTCCTGGGTAGGAAAGATGCTGGCAGTGCTTGGAGTCACGGGAGCGTGTCTTCATTTGCTTCTGCATCCAAGGAGGTGGATGTGGGGAAGAAGGGCGGGTATTGCTCTGGTGCCGGGTGCTCCGGTGGGATGCGGCAGGCAGGACACCGTGGTCGCATCCTGCTGCCCTCATTTTGCAGCACCAGCCAGCAGCCAAGGCAGGCAGCTCTTTACCATCGTGCAAACCATGTCTGAGACAAAAATAATATGCCGGGGTGACAAGGGACAGTCTCTGGGGTTGGCTGTCATTTGGGGAGGTTTCCAGGAGAGGAAATCTGTA